CTTCCGATCTTAGCGAGTCGGGTGGTAGGTATTTCGTAAGGTCAGGCGCCTCCGTGAGGCGCATGGAATATGGGCGTGTCGGGTCACGACCATTCCGGCTTATTTCTGCTTACTGAGTGGCCCACCCACCCTCCCATTTCCTCAGGATCACGCAGCTCGAAGAGGACAGAGCTTAGTCTGGAACTATCGCAAGTGACCGATGAGGTAAGATAAGAATTGATTTAAAGTGTGAGCGGACTTGCCAAGCGTTCACTGATCCCGAGCTGATCGCCTATTTGTCTAGGATAATGGCGCTTCCAAACTCCAGCTTTTTCTCAGTCCATTGAGGATCACATTCAACATAAAAACTTTTACACCGCAAGCAGTCTAAAAGTATAATCTAGAGTTCTAGTCTAGTCTAAAGTCACCCCGCGATCGTCAGTCCTTGGTTGCCTTGATAGTGAAGGAAAAAGGAAAAGAACGGTAGCGAAGCGGTAGGCGGTAGAACACAAAACAAGACACCTCTGACCAAGACGAGTTGCCCGTACCTGGTGACTTCATGCCGGAAAATGGATATGACCGCCAACTGTATGCATCCCCGCCTCACAGTCGCTCCTTCTTCTTCTTATAACATAACGTAGCTTGGGATTTCCTGGTGGACACCACGACCTAGCGAGCAAAAGTAGGACCCCATCATCGGCGCGTCAGAACACATCCTACCCTGCGAAACGATTGGCTTTTAACGCATGTGCTCCCTTCGTGAATGGCACTTGTGTTTACGGCGACTACCGCTTAGACATCTCGCCCCCAACTGGCGAGGCACCTTCAAAGTACTTGTAACTTCAATTTATCAAGCCTTCAGCGCTCTTGTGGAAACCGCGAAAGCGGACCAAAGGAAAGCGGAAAGGACGGAAAATGAAGGAATGCTATGAATCAGTTAACGGCAGAGTCTCTTTCATTATCTTCAGCCTGCTGGAAGGCGTGGAAGCTGCTCTTTTAGAACTTGTGGCCGACTTAAAAAGGAGCACGAAAACGACTCTACAGTAATGAACAGGAATGCTTCAAAAGATAACGAGGACTCATTTCCTGTGAAATGAATTGGCAAAAGAGCAGTTGAAACTCATGAGTATGTCTCATGCTTTTGTAAGGCTAAGTGAGAACAGCCAATCTTGTCAGAGTTTTCCATGGGCAATTGCCTAAAAGTTGCGTTTTTGGTTATCGGAAAGTCCGAAACAAACTCATTTAATCTCTTGGTCTGAAATCTGGATTAAGTGCGTGAGGCAATCGCTACAACGGAAACCATTGTGTCAAAAGGAACAGCTTTCCATGCGATGAGACAAAGCGTTTTTCTTTATTGTTGTGGTTTTTATCTGGGTTACGTCATTAAGACTTGATACCATTCTTTTTCTAGAGCGGCAATACTGAATCCTACATCAGGAACGCTCGGCCTTAAGGATATCAGCGGAACGGGCGTCGGAAATCTACTATTCATACCTCACTTCTATACCAGCTTCGATTTAGGTTAAATGATGTTACACCTTTTCAGGCACAAGGCAGTTATTATTCAGAGATGGACGCCTGTGGATACGAGGCAAATGTTTCAAGGAAAACTACCACGCAATCATCCACACGTTCAAAGACGGAAAGCTTCGACGTGTTATGGATCGATCTCGGCGTTTCTGTTAGCAGTACCTATCGCACAGTATTGTATAATTCTAGATAGAATGATGTTAGTTGATTTGGTACCACAGGAATATATTCAGTTGTGCAAGGATGTCCCACATTAGCATATAGCATCATTTCTTGTCCTTATATATCTGAGCAGAATATGTCAGTGCAATATGGATGGAATCAGTGTTGTATTCGGGCACGTTTGACGCCAGATCAGACGAGATAGTTCTATCATGATACGCAGAAATAAAGCCTTCTTCCCGACGAGTTAGCAGAAGCAAAATGGAGTTTTTGACAGAGTTTCGGAGTCAAAACAACTATTTCTCGGCTTGCAGATTCATCGCTTCACGACAATCGCAAGGGGTAGCGGTCAATCGATTTTTCACCCTGACAACTTCACCCTGAAGCAATTCTTGAGAGGCACCTTTCATATTTACATTAAATGAAATTTCCCTAGAGAAACAAAACACTTATCGGGCAAACTGACAACTAAAACATCCATAAATTTCACTTACCTTCCAAATGTTGTCGAGATCTACATCGGCTGAAGCACAGAAGCAGGTCTGGACCATAAATTTGTGACGACCGACGTCAGTGGGGACGCCATCCATCGGCTGCAGCATGACGGTAATAGTTTTCGAAGCATTAGGTGGCAAAACACCTAATAATATCAGCATTAAGATAACTTGTAATAGCATAGGATAACTTTGAAAATGTGAAGTCAGGAAGAGATCACAGGGCTCAGCAAATACTCACCCGAGTTGGGACGAACACAGTATTGCTTTGGTGCTGTGGTTTTTACTTTGAAACAAACATGTCGTTCAGTTGGATTCTTCAATTGCAAATGAGCGTTGACAATGTCGGTGAAAGGACCTAAATATAAGAGCTATGAAAAAAAACCAATAAATCGATTTTATGGAGTATCTTTGAAGGTATTAAAATTCTATTTGTTCATATACTCGAACACTGGTAGACATTACTTCTAGCCATGTTCCATCTTTACAAACCTTATGATGATGTCATAAGGCCAGAAATCCCAGGAATTTTAGTAATTAATCAGGCAGTATTGTTTAACTCTTCGCCATGCCTTAAATGGTAGCCAGTTACTATAGTTGAACAGGAATGCGAGTCTTTTTCTTCAACAGTTATTGATGAGGACTCAATATACAATTTTTTGGTGAGCTTTCGCTGCGTAGCAGCTTCTTCAGACCTACAATAAAACGAGCATACAGTACTACAAAACATTACAACAATTAAGTTGTCTAGAGTACTAATAATGCGAGTGACTCAACAAAGTCAGGGGTCAAGATGCATACTGGGGCATAAACAGTGCCAGTTTACAATTTTTGTCAAGGCTACAGTTTTAGTCTGTCCCGCTATGTATGAAGCGGCGTGTCTGGCGGGATGGTTTTGGCGCGTCACAACCCCATTCTATATCAGCTCTTGAAGCCGGTAAGCGGCAAAAATTGGTGGAAAACAACTGATACGAACGACGCTTCAACAAATGATGAAAGACGGGCTTGACGTCGCGCCGACACCCCACCCCCCCTTCCCAAGTTCGACGCAAAATTGCCGATGGACAGTTCGTACTCCATGCACGCATCGACCATAGGTTAGATTAATATATTCTATGCTATCTAACTAGTTCATACTTTGCGTCAGCCTTCTGAGCGACTTGAACAATGCAAGAATCGATCTAGCGTTTTGTGTGCACACTAGCGTACGCTGAGAACGCTGAATCGATACATGTACTTCCCTAGTCGCTGAAAGGGCGCTCAAAACGACAGGGAAGTCCAAAACGCAAGAATGAAAAAAAAATCCAAAATGTAAGAATGCACTCATAGGATTGATGTTTATAATGGAGGTCAAATAGACCTCCTAGACAATTTAATGCTTAAAAGCTGATTGGACAAAACCCAGTCTAAATTCTCACCCCTCTCCCCCCTTTCCCACAGTTTCCCGGCGAGGATTGGCAAAAACATAATGATGACACCTGATCAAAGTTACTTCAGGCATGTTCACTCCACCTTCCCCTGCCACGCTACTTACTATCGTTTGCCTTCGTAGATGTGAATAAAAAAATAAATAAATGATAAATGTAAGTCTAGCTCGTAATCGACGAAAAGAGAAAAGTCAACTAATTTGAATATCAGACACCAGAGAACTAGCAAATGATTTGCTGGTTGTTTCTTTACCGTCTCCCATGACCGATTGTGATCAACAAGCTCCGTAAAAACAGATATTGATAGGACAATGCGAACGACAGGTATAGCACAAGAACACAACTGAGTACTACACGTGAAATCTGCACAAAAAAAGCTTGAATTTTCGAGAATCGGCAACCCGTTTTGATAAAACCTGCGGATCTTCGCAAAACCACAAAACGACCCATTTTTCGCTTTTTGTTGAACGGCGTTTAATGCAGCAGGTTGTATAGAAAACGCTGTTTTTCTTTTTTTGGGGATCCAGGAGTTTCCCTTCCACCATCTAAA